CCCGGGCCTGGGGGGCCCCCTCCGGGGCCCCCCCCCGGGAGAAACCGCGGGACCGAGCCCGCCTTTACGGGAAGGTCCCGGCAGGTGCGCCCCCTCCGCCTCTGGTTCACACTCGGCGCCCTGCATTCCAAACGCGACACTTCCCGGCGCTAATCTTAGTTGCCCGGGCCCCGCATTTTGCCCCGGAGCTCAGGGGAGGCGGGGGCCCGCGGCTGGCGGGGTGGGGGGTGGGGTGGAAGGTGGGGGTAACGGGGGGCGGGGCTGGCTTCAACCACAGTCCCCCCAGCTGTGCTGCGCGCGGAGCCAGGCGCACCCCGCGGAGAAGGCGCTGCCGCTGCGGGGGTTAAGGCGTCGCCAATAGCTGAGTCGCTAGCTGAGTCTGCGCTGGTGGCAGCTGCCCCTTCCCAGGGTCCCGGGGTTCAGGGTCTTTCTCTGAACCCTCGAGGGGGCCGAGTTCCAGGGCTCCACCTCATTGGCTTCTGGGGTCGTAATTCAGAAAACACGAAATTGTTCCTGTGAGCTCAGGGTTCGTGACCTCCCAGGTCTGGGTGCACCTCGGTGTTCTCCAGTGGCCCCCACACGTCCCGGTGTGGGCTGGGTTCAGGCCACTCTTCTGTCGTGAGCAGGGCGCCGAGTCCTGGCCTGGCAGGAGCTAAGGTGTTAGAACGGGGTCTTCCAAAAGCCATGACCTCATGGCCAAGGACAGACTGGTTAAAATCAGCCTGCACAGACTTCCCTGCCACGTCTCCTCCTTCATCTATAAAGTGAGGATCAAAATGAGGTGGTTCAGGAATTCCACCCCCAGATAGGTTTTCTTGGCACCGTTTTTAAAATGTGAACAGAGTGCCTTTGCCGGCCTGGTACCTCCCGCTCTCCACAGCTCCCCTCCTCCAGCCCTGGGGAAGGCCTCTGCCACCTGGGCGGCCAGGCCCCAAGTCAGTGACGTTGCCGTGGCTTTTCCAGACTAGAATCCGAAAAACTGGGATCCGGTTCCGCAAAGGGAAGCTCTCCTCCTCCTCACACGGGCAGCTTCCACCTGCTTTATTTCCTACGCAGAGACTTAAGGTGGGCATGTCCACCCTTCAGAGTTGCCCCTCACAGAGCCACGGCCTGGCCCTGCCTGGCGTGGCCCACCTGGGGACACGGGGTTCCCTGCCCTCAGTGCCCTACACCTGCGGGACTGTGGCCTTTCTCCAGGGAGGGCCCAGCCTGCTCACAGCCCAGGACCAGCCACAGATGGTGACCTGCCTCCCAATCTGAGGAGTGCTGCTCCCGCTCAGGACGTCTGTCTCCTGCTCCTACTGCTCTGTGATAAACAGCTCATATGTAAAGAAAACTTTAGGCCTTGGTAGGGAGCACAGTGGGTTAAAGCGTCGTCCTGATACACCAAGGTTGTGGGTTCTATCCCCAGTCAGGGCACATACAAGGATCAACCAATGAATGCACGAATAAGTGGAACAACACATCAATGTTTCTCTCTCTCTCTCTCTCTCTCTTTCTCTCTCTCTCTCTCTCTGTGTGTGTGTGTGTGTGTGTGTGTGTGTGTGTCTCCCCACCCCTTCCTCTCTCTCTAAAATCAATTTGGGGGGGGGAAAAAAAGAAAGAAAACTTTGGGTAGCATCCCCTCTCCTTTTTGTCACCTTTCTCTTTCAGGCTTCCTGTTTCTTGCTACAATTATCCTAATTTCTATAAAGGAGCTGGAACCACACTCATGTGAATAATTGCAAACATCTGGCTCAATCTGGGGGGTCATAGTTTTGTACACCCTGAAAACAGTACAACCCCAAGGGGACTCCTTCAGAGAGGGGCCAGGGTCAGAGCATGCTGCACCCAGCTTCCTGCTGCATAAGCTCCCAACTCTCAGAGCAGCCCACAAGCTCATGTGGGCAAAGAGTGGAGCTTTCTTCACCCCAATATGCGCTGGCCGCGCGCTCGCGCGTGTGTGTGTGTGTGTGTGTGTGTGTGTGTGTGTGTGTGTGTGAGAGAGAGAGAAAATATACAGGACATTTAAAGAAGTGTGGCATTTTAAATCTGATTGTCAGTCTACTACTCTTTATTTCAAACCTCCCACCCCACACAGGACCCCTGTGCTCCCTCTAACCCTTGGCATGAGCACTTTCAGGGATGACAACCCTCACAAAAGCCGCTCATTCCACTTGTGGACAGTTTTGTTAGTTTGGGCTTTTGTTTGTTTGTTTGGTCTGGGTCCCTAAAACTTCTGCCCATAGGTCCTACTTCTGTGCTCTTGAAGGATAAAAAATAAATCCTATCTATTTCCCCAAAGTACCCTCCCGGTGCCCCCATCCTCCCACCAGTCGCCTGGGGAGCCCAGGGCTTCTGCACTCTGTCCCCTAGCAGCCAGTGTTGAGTCCCTCTTCCTTCTGAGCACCCTGTCCCCACCCACAAACCTAAAGGAAGCCTGTCATTAATGTCTTTTGCTTCCCCTGCCATCTCTGCAGTGTGGTGGACACGTTAAGTAACACAAGCTTTCTGTAGGAGCAGAACATAGGGAGCCGTGTCGCTGACTGTGGGGGTCCCGGCTCAGAGGGTTGCTCAGGAGGGTCTGGGGTGTGCCACCTGGGGAGGCTGCTGGGGGCAGAGCTGGGCCCGAGGCCCTGGCCCTGAGGCAGCAGCGGGGAGGGGAGGGTCTCCTGAGGGATCTTCTGCCTGGGATGCTGCACCTAGCTTCCTGCTGGGACCTCCTGGAGCGACCTCTAAACCCCACGAGGGCAGGGAGATCCCCGCCAGGCTCCTCTTTCCTGGGACCCGGGGACCCTCACACGCAGGACCGCAGGATCGGCCTGCCTCTGGGCAGTGCTGGGAACAGTGAGGCCCTGGGAGTGTGAGCTTGTTCGTGTGCACGTGTGTGCTCACGTGCTGTGCATACGAGTGTGCATATTAGCAAGTGCCTGTGTTAGGGAGAGACGTGAAACTGCTGAAGAGTTATGTGAGAGGTAGGAGGGGAGGAAAATCCCCAAGAAGTTCTATTTTCTTTTTATTGTCTAAAGTTTTACATATGTCTCCTCTCCCCGCCCCCATTAGCAACCCCCCACCGCCCAGTGTCTGTGTCCATTTGTTATGCTAATATGCATGCATACAAGTCCTTTGGTTGCTCTCTAACCACCCCCCCAAGAAGTTCTATTATTTTCATTGTAACATTATTTAAATACTATGTACAAACAAAGTCAGATATGAACGCTTTATGCTGATAGCATCTATACAACTATTTTAAAAATTTACATTATAAATATAAACCAAACCGGAAAAAAAACACTAAATTCAAATTAACAACATTAATTTAATGGTGTAATTAGGTTACGTCGTATCCTGCAATGAGTCTGTGAGAGCTCAGCGCTACCCTTGGCTTTTTCAGGCTACGGCAAACCTGTTTTCCATGCAGCCGCCTTCTCTTGACACCATCCCATCACCGGCCAGCACCCAGCCTCTCCACACAGAAGGTGCTCCATAAATGTCTGTTGATTAATGGAAAAAATAAATGAAGGAAGTCCACCTCTGCTCTTTTCTTAGTAGGATTATTTGGCACATTGCAATAATAAGCACAAAATACAGAGGACTGCAATACGGAGTTATATGTAGAGTTATCATCTAAATTAAAATACAGTATAAAACTTCTCAGCATGAGAATTAGATGCCCACTCAGAGAAACTTGGCTTTCGTGGGAATGGCAGTGTGAGGCCCCACACCAGAAGTCTCTCATTCTCCTCTCTGTCATTGGTAGAGTGTCCCCCGTATCCCCACCTGTTGCCAGTGGAAGCGGGCTTCTTGGGGTGCCGTGGGAACAAGAATTTCCTGAGGCCCCATGGGAGGAGGCGGTATGGTGGAAAGCTTTATCGCTGTGGAATCACACCCCTGAGTTCCCAAGGTCCCGTCTCCTTCCATCCCGCCTTGGGAAAAGTCCCATTTTGTCCTTACAAAACACTTCCGTGGCTTAAAGACAGTTGTATTTGGTTTTCATAATAATAGTTAAGATCAACATTATCATGATTACACACGAGGAAGCCTAGAATGTAGAATTTAACTGCCTTCCTCAACGTCCCACCAGTGCCAGCCCAGGGCTCCAGGCACCTCGACCCACCTCGTCTCGACCCACCTCGTCCTGGCCCCTCTGAGCTGGCGGGTGCTGTTCCATGATCCAAGCACACAGCCTGGAAGGAGCGTGGCGCACAGCAGGCATCCATCAGTGCTTGGAAGTAAGCACCCTTTACCTAAGGAAAAAGGAAGATGTGACAGGGATTCAACATCCTCTCTTCACTCTACACCAACATATATCTGACCCGCTTCTCTTCCCATTTCTTCCTGAAAAGAACAATTAAAACAATAAATCTGGCACAAACACACCCTTTTTTTTCCCTTTCCTTTTATTAGGACACAGGTATACTGAACACATGTAAGATATGGTTCCACTAGTACCTGAAGCCGGGGGATGGATACGTGGGGTTTCATTGTCCTCATCTCCCATTTGTGTATGTTTACAACATTCTGTAACAGTGGTTCTCAACCTTCCTAATGCCGCGGCCCTTTAATACAGTTCCTCATGTTGTGGTGACCCCTAACCATAAAATTATTTTCGTTGCTACTTCATAACTGTAATTTTGCTGCTGTTATGAATCGTAATGTAAATATCTGATATGCAGGATGTATTTTCATTGTTACAAATTGAACATAATTAAAGCATAGCGATCAATCACAAAAACAATATGTAATTATATATGTGTTTTCCGATGTTCTTAGGCGACCCCTGTGAAAGGGTCGTTCGACCCACAGGTTGAGAACCGCTGTTCTATAATGAAAATGGGGTTTTACTGGTTGATTTTAATGCTTCCTCCTGCCCAGGACACTGTGAATGAAGCACGCCCATCCTCTAACCACACATCTGAGGGCAGCCCTGCCCAGGCCTGACTGCTCCACGCCTAGCTTCCAGGGACACCCAGGTCTTACGACAAGCGGAGGCCCAGGCTTTCTTTGGGGCCCCGTCTCTGCAGAGCATTTGCAAGGCCCTCTCCTCTGGGTGACTGAGGTCAGCAGCTGGCCAATGCGTCCGGCTGGCGCACTCTGCTCCCCTGGCCACGGCAGGGCAGAACTCAGCTCCTTCTAGAAATAGACAGCGAATCAAGGGCACACACATCACGCCACACTGTGACGTGTAAAAGGCGTTCTCTCTCCTCTTGCCATCCTCACACCTCACTTCCCGTGTCCCCAGGACAGCAGTCAGGAGCAGGGCTGGGTGTCAGCTGTCGGGGCGTCGCCCACCTGCTGTGGCATTCCTCTGGCTTGTCGCTGCCTGCCAGGCCCGGTCTGGAGGGCAGATGGCCACATAAAAATAGTCGGGAGCCCTCGAGGTGCCACTTCTCCAGCTGTTCTGTTGAGTGGAAGCCAAATGAGAAGGTGGAGAAGTCTTGGCCTCTCTCGGGGCCTTGGAGCGAGGCCAGCGGCTCAGTGCATCCCCCGTGGGGGGAGCAGTGGATAAAATGGTTCTTTCTGTTTCATCAGTTTCCAATCAGTTCTGTTGCAGCTAAAAAGTTCTGTTGGACTGTGTCAGTACACATATAGCTCTGCTTCTTTAAGAAATTAGGGTCCAGATAGATACAGTGGCAGAGAAGCATTGAACAGACTGTCAAATTACAGTGGGAAGGCTGGGGAGTGTTGGAGGGGGGTAAGAGATCAATCAAAGGACTTATATGCACGCATATAAACATAACCAATGGACACAAGACACTGGGGGGTGGGGTAAGGACATGTGCGGGGGGGTAGGGGAGGCCGGGGAAAGGTCAGTGGGGAAAAAAGGAGACATATGTACTACTCTCTGTAATACTTTAAACAAGAAAATAAAATTAATAATAATAATAATAATTCTAGGTACAATGTACTAAATAAATGGTATATTCAATAGTCAAACAATAAATAAATAAAATTTCCTGTGCACTAATCAATTTCAGCTATCAAAAGGCAAGAATAATAATATCTTGATGGGTTTTTATTAGAGAAAATGATGAAATATTTGTAAAAGGGATTTCTCAACCATAGAGTGCCATGTAAATGTTAGTGATTGCTGTTTTACTTAATATTGTTAGTTGTGGAAGAGAATAAAGTTATGCTGTATGCTAAAAAAAAGAAATTAGGGTCCAGACAATGGGGATCCACTAATCAGCAAGCATCAAGTCTCCGTTGAGCAAGATGAGTAAGTTCCAGAGGTCTGCTGTGCAACATAGGTCAACAAGCATAGAGTGGATGCTTCCTTAAGAGAATAGATCTCGTGTTAAGTGTTCTGACCACAATACAATACAATTTTTTAAAAATATATTTTATTGATTTTTTACAGAGAGGAAGGGAGAGAGAGAGAGAGTTAGAAACATCGATGAGAGAGAAACATCGATCAGCTCCTCCCGCACACCCCCCTCATGGGGAAGGTGCCCCCACCCCAGGTACATCCCCTTGCCCGGAACGGAACCTGGGACCTTTCAGTCCGCGGGCCGCCCCCTTTCCCATTGAGCCAACCCGGTTTCGGCAAAAATAAATTTTTTAAAAAAAAAGAAGGGGGGCTTAGGTTCTCCATGTGTGCCCAGGAAAAGTTTTTTGCCCTTTTTCAGCCTCGTTTTCCTCCCCTGGGACTGGGAGTCCTCCCGCGGGGGGGGGGGGGGGGGGGGGCATTAAGTGAGATGCAGGGGAGAAAGCCAGGGCTCCTGCCTGGAGCACCGCGGACTCAGCACCAGATTGCTTTGCTTCTGCCGGATTTAACGAATGAGCCATGGAGCTTCTATTTGGGAGCTGGTCACAAATATACTTCAGGAGGGAAGGGCCAAAGCATTGGGGGACGAGCTGCTAGGCGGGTGGGGAGAGATGTTTTCTGGATCTCTGAGCCAGCTGAGAAGGGAGGGAGTGGCTGCCACAGAATTCCTGCGAACAGCTGAGACAGCTGGGAGGGGTGGGCTCCCGGCCTCCACAGGGTGCAGCTCTCTGAATAGCTATCATCTTACTGCAGAGGAGAAACAACGAGAACTTTGCATCGCTTTGGTTTGGCAGTTTGCGATTTGCAGGCATCGTTACCTGCATTATCTCCGTTGCTTTCCTAGCAAACCTGTTAGGCAGAGAGCGTGCCCACCCACCCAGAGCCTCTAGGCTTGTCAAAGGGCAGGCAGGGCAGGACGGGCTCTGGCCTTCCCACCGCGCCCCCCTGCCCCTGCAATGGAACATTCAGGGCCAAGACTACAACTAGACACAAAACTAGTTCCTACCCAGACCAGCGGGGAATGACGGGGAAAGGATTCAGGCAAAGAACTGGTTGATCATAATCAGTCTCGAACCATTCTGACTATATTTTTAAACCGCCACCTGACTTTATACTTTCCTGGGAGAAAGCCCCGGTTTAGGGAGGCATGATGACCTTGCTCTTTGTTTCCCACCGCAGTAGCCTGGGTCCTCCTTTCAGAGAGGGAAGTCCTTCTGCCCTGCAGGTGCTCTGCCATTCTATTTTCCCACTCACAGTCACTCACCAGGTGCAGTTGCACAGCATGTACTCTGCTGAGTATTATGGACAACGTGCAGGAAGTCTAGTCGCTGACCTCAGGGATTTACACTCTGATCCAGGAGGTAGGATTCCTGAATGTGGCACACCTGGGCAATCTGGTCACGGCGGCGCTTAGTGAGGCCATGACAGTGTGGTTGGTGCAGACCTGGGCAGACGATACACTCAATTCTGACACCTGTAGGGTGATGTCATGTCCAACTGGAGTCTGGGACCGGAACATTTCTCTATTACACACACACACACACACACACACACACACACAAGCAATTACCTTTTAAATCACATAATCACTTAGATCAGTTTCTATTTTGCTTAATGTGGGGGATTGGATGTTGTCTTTTGTCACTTTTCAGTCTTTCCAATTTTTGTGAGGCTTGGTTGTGACTCCCCCAGCCTTTTTTTAAAAATTAGGGTTAAAAAGTCCCATCTTAACCATCGCTAAGTGTACAATTCAGTAGCACTAGTATATTCACATGGTTTGCAACAGATCTCCAGAACTTTTTATCTTGCAAAACTGATTAGTTTCTAATGGAAAAATAATATAAAGACTATTTTATAAAATATAAACTGCTCAAGACTAGTCCTGAAAGTTGCCCTGCTTCAGCTGGTTTTAAAACCCCAGGCTGAAGGGCCTCCTCTTCCCTCCACCCTAAGCCTCCTGGTGGGGCTGTTCCAGACCCTGTTCTCTCTGGGAGGCCTCTGCCCCGCCCCCATCCAGTGCTCTCCCCGGGCCTGCCTCACAGCTGCTGGGCTGATTGCTAGGCCTTGGCCCCCAGGCCCGCGCACCCTGTTGTGTGGGTGCAAGATAAGGGGCCAGGGTGAGGGAAGGGGGAGGTGGAAGCTCCCTGAGCGTGGCCGGGGCTGCTGGGAAAGCTCTGGTCCTTCGGGCTGGAGGGTCCTCACATCTGCTCCACTCGACCCCCTCATGTTGCAGAAGAAGAAACTGAGGCTCAGAGGTCACACTGCTTGCTAAGGGTTCATCAGAGACTAGATCCCAGGGTGCTGTCACCTCATTCAGCACCTCTAGAACGTGCTGAAGGCTGTTGTACTGTGCACGGCATCAGAGAAAATGGTCAGTGTTGGACTTGATTCCATGACTGGGAAAATAAATGAAGAGTTAGGTTGCGCTGAAAAAGGCCATTTGGCATGCTGCACGTTTTTGCCTCATTGCTGTACAACACGGTAACAATTCTGTTATGATCAGATAAGAGTCAAACCATATTTGTTATGAACTTGATTTACTATACTCGGGTCTATGCATGTGACCAAGAGAAAATTCTGAAATGCCTTAAATTAAATTATAGCAAGCCCGGGGGTGGAAGGAGAGAAAAAGGGGAGTGGGGGAGGAACAAGCTTTCTCCTACCCTCAAGGTTCTTCTGGCTGATCTCATCATCAATAGACATGAGACAGAGTAGCAAGAGCAAGCAGCCAAATGTAACACATACCTACGAATGGGAATCCTATACACAGGAGAGAGCCGGAGACCCCAGATGCAGGAGCGGTTCAGAGATAGAAAGGGGGGTTGAGGTGTGTAAGACATTCTGAGCCAGGGACGAGGTCAGGCGCCTTGGGCTTCAAGGGGCACTGCAGTGAGAGCACATGTTCAGAAGTGAGGGGCTTGCCCTGCCATATAGATGGGTGAAAAGTCATTTCTGCTGATAACTCTTCTCATGAGCCAGGCTCCTGATTTACATCATTCTAGATCAGTGGTTCTCAACCTTCTTAATGCCGCGACCCTTTAATACAGTCCCTCATGTTGTGGTGACCCCAACCATAAAATTATTTTCGTGGCTACTTCATAACTGTAATTTTGCTACTGTTATGAATCGTAACGTAAATATCTGATATGCAAGATGTATTTTCATTGTTACAAATTGAACATAATTAAAGCATAGTGATTAATCACAAAAACAATATGTAATTATATATGTGTTTTCCGATGGTCTTAGGCGACCCCTGTGAAAGGGTCGTTCGACCCCCAAAGGGTCACGACCCACAGGTTGAGAACCGCTGTTCTAGATACTCAAGTGGGGAGTAGAGGTTCCTTTTCAGCCCGCAGGGTCTCGGCTGTCCCAGCTTAGGCACAGTTTGGGGGTGGCTCATTCATTCTACAGGAGTTAATCAGTTAACAACTGAAGTGCAAAACCAGCGAAGGACTGCTCCCGCTCTTTAGTGTCTGATGCGATTATTAAAGTAACTTTTTCCAGGTGGCTGTTTCTGAGATGATCTAAAAAGGGACAATAGCCAGGTGCCCGGAAGCCTGGGGCCTCTTCTTGTTTAGCTCCATCCAGCCCCTGCTGCAGAGGGTGCTGGCCTGCCCCAGAGCTGGGTCCCTGCCCCTCCCCCATCCCCTTGGTCCCGAGCTAATGTAAATCCTTTCAGAACAGCTTACATCCTTCTCTCCCCGACTTGACATATAAAAACGCTTGCAAAGCTCAGGGCGGCCCTGGCCGGTTTGGCTCGGTGGATAGAGCGTCGGCCTGCGGACTGAGGGGTCCCAGGTTCGATTCTGGTCAAGGGCATGTACCTTGGTTGCCAGCACATCCCTGGTGGGGGGTGTGCAGGAAGCAGCTGATCGATGTTTCTAACTCTCTAGCCCTCTCCCTTCCTCTCTGTAAAAAATCAATAAAATATATTTAAAAAAAAAAAAAAAAGCTCAGGGTTGTGTGTGGGGGGGGGGGGGGGGCGGTTTTTCATCTTTCCTGCCTGGCCATGGTGGTGGGGGTTTATACTCCACATCCCATGCGGGCCCTCTTTTTCGGCCAGGAAAGGCCTCATAAACCCCTTCTTTTAAAGGGTTTCCGCAGAAGAAGATAATTTTTTTGTTTAAACACATGGAAGTTCATTCCTCTTTGTGTACTTCGGGTGTACCTGCTCACCACCTTTCTTAGAAAATAGCGGAAAAGGACAACCCAGGGGCGTTTTAGATCAGCTGAGGTCTGCCTTCCGTTAAAGCGGTGCTGGATT